TAGTGCTCGATACACGTGATAATGCAGAGCGTAAATATTGAAAGTATTGAAAATGTAGAACTTGTAGAACTGGGTATTATCACTCTACAGACTGTTTCATGCTAATGCAATCTTCAGGAGTGAGAGAATACAAGGGTTGTGCGAGTATATGAATGCTAAGACAGGTGAAATTAACTCATTTGCATTTTCACCTGTCTTAGCATTCATATACTCGCACAACCCTTGTATTCTCTCACTCCTGAAGATTGCATTAGCATGAAACAGTCTGTAGAGTGATAATACCCAGTTCTACAAGTTCTACATTTTTAATACTTTCAATATTTACGCTCTGCATTATCACGTGTATCGAGCACTATACGTTGCTAGTATTGCCAACTACATTTATTCATTATATATATATATATATATATATATATTTATATAGTATAAATCTTTAAAATAACAATATAATTTTAGAATAAGTATAAAAATGCAGTATGCTCCAACCTTCACTCATTGGAACACATGTTACGCCAACGTCATTGGAATGGAGGCATCCTTCATCAATTACGTCAGAATACTCACAGTCTATCAAACTCTCGTCGTCTTTCGTGCATTTCAGCTCCTGTAGGACATTATACCCAGTCCCTTTCCCATATGTAGCATTATTCGAGATGCTTATGGCTCCTTGGATGAACCCAAGTTGACTACATATTTTATGAGCCGTCTCCATAGAAACTGCTGTGTTGCATACGCTACCCCATACATCTTCCCCCACACTGTACTTCAATTCAAGACGACCCTGATATGACGACATCGAATTACCCTCTAACCGGTATTCTATGCCGCTACCTGCTGATGAATATTAATTATTATTATAGCACCATTGGTATTTATATCATAGTATAACGATAATATATCACAAAGGAGACCAACATAATATAAAACAGAAATACCTAAATTAATAAAGAGGGGACTGTCATGTATAATAAGAGAGAGGATGATGGGTTGACTTTTGTTGTTGTTGACAGGGGTTGCGCCAGGATGTCCCAGTCGAGAGAAAAGTGGGCGTGGTCAGGCGTCGTTTGAAATGTTTCAAAAGTGATTCAGGGGAGAAGCCTAAAAAAATTACAATTTAGAGATTTCAAAGGCTTATTTAATCGATTTTAGTGTTTACTAATGTGTAGAAAATATATGTAATTTTTTTTCTCTCCGACGAATCTTTTTTCTCCTCGACGGGTTGCCTTAGACCCCGGCCCCACTTACGATGGCGCCATCCCTGGTTGTTGATGATGATATGATGATGATGATGTTTCCTGCTGGAGATTGGTTAACAGATTTATTATTTATTTATTATAATGGTAAATATGATAATAATGATAAAGATGATGATGATATCATGACGATGATTATGATCCTTGGTGATAATGATCAGTTGCTGATAACTATTCTGATAATATTGTTAAGTGATGATGACGACGATGATGACTATGATGTTTGGTAATAATGAAGATAAAGAAGGCGGTGACAATGATGTTAATGGTGAATATGTTCACCATCTACAAGTCTAACTTAGCCAAAGGACAAATGCAACTGAACTACTAAATAAATTGGTTAAAAAATAAATAAAAAAGAATATAAAGTTTAAAGTTTAATGACGATCTTAAACCAGGGTGTGGATATAAGGACAATTTAAAGAAAAAGGTCCTAGACCAGATATTTCAAAATCTAATCAAAACTGTTTTAAAAGAAGCTATCTGGAAGAGTTAACCAAGTTAGAAGAAAATGTTATTAAATTGTAATGACGATCCAGATTTGGGTGTGGATTTGGGGGTCATTTAAAATGTCCCAGATTTAAATATCTCAAAAAAAAACGCATCAATGTATCTGAACGAAAGTTTTTGGAATGGTTTGTCATGGTCCATGAGAGAAATAATTAAATTGATGATCCGGAGAATGGTGTGGATATGAGGTCAATTTAAAAGGAACTTTCCAGGCCTAGATAAAAAAAAATGATAAATGCATCCTTTCTAAAACCTTTCTGGAATTCTTCATGGCCAAGGAATAAATTATGCAATATTGATGACTTTCCTGAGTAGGGTTTGTGAGATTCTTAAAATGGAACGTTCTAGACCTAAATATCGTAAAAACTGATTACTGAATCTGAATGAAACTTTCGAGAATAGTTTGTCATGATCCATGGAACAACAGTTGAAGGCTTTCAATGGCTACCGGGTCGGACATAACTATAAACGTATTAATTGTCTAGTTGGTTATGAAGTTGGATTTGTAAGCGAAAGGTCTCCGGTTCAAATCCAAGTGGAGCTTAAGATTCTGTTTTCCTTATTTATTTTTTCGAAATGAAAAGATACGTGGGAATTTTATACAGCGGGAATTATGATGTGGCGTAGGTACGCACTCTCGAAGTGGCTCTAAATATAAATATTATTATACACTTACATTTATATAAAGGAATACACGTTAAATTGACGACGGCAGCATCTTCTCCTTCCTCCGTCAACCATTCCCCATGTGCACACTCGAGTAACGATTCCTCGTCACCTCGACATTTCACAGAATCAAACGCTGGTTCTCCTGTAAACTCGCTCGGCGTCTGATCTGTAATAATAATACCAATGAAGCCGAGATTTCGGCAGGTAACAATTCCATTGGTAAAATTCCAGCCGGTGTTCAGAACCGGTTTCCATTCATTGGAATACAGAATTTCGACTACGCCACTGTAACTTGTCTTCGCTGTCGACTCAGCAACTCGCAGATAAATTTGGCCTATGGACAAATAAATTTCCATTCAATTCATGTTTTTGCTGCTAATGAAAATAAGTATTACTGCCAAACAAAAATACAATAAAATAGCTTAGAATTATAAGTGTTATACTGTCTTTATTATATGCATGGAGATAATTTAATTCAGTGGAATGAGTTACATGGAAGGGCAAAGACACATTGACACACACAATACATACACACAAACAATATACGAGAATTAGAATAAGGACAACGCAGACAAAACCAAGGAAAATACACGAAAGTGTACAGAAGAACAATAAAGATAATGCAATATATATTTATATACAAATAATAGATAAAAAAATATATACAAAAATAGATAGTAAAAATTGCCATTAAGTCGCAGAAAATGTAATTTATATATATATATATATATAATATACGTATAAACGTTGGACACCCCCACCTGGAAAAAACGTTTACATTGATTCATTCGTTAGCAAGGCCAAGTCTCATCTAGATACTTTCATAAATGAATGCTCAACCAAGAAACCTGAAAACAACCTTACAAAACCCGAACGCCGATCTATCACCAACCTTAAAAACAACGACGGCATTATCATCCGGAGAGCTGACAAGGGCGGTAACACAACAATTTTAAACAAGGAAGACTATATTAAAGAAGCGGAAGGACAACTTAAAGACTCTAATAACTATATCAATGGGAAGCTCAATGAAGAATTTGAGACAAATATTTTTTTTTTGAAAAATGGAAGTTTTTGTTGGTAAAAATAAATAAAGCTCTGTCCAAACTATCAAATTTAAATGACAGAATAAACGATATGCTCATATATGGGTGTAATGTGACAACTCACTCATATATTGGTGCATCACACAACTTTTTCACATAAAATGTGATTGTGTTGACAGAGCGTATAATTGAAGGTAGAATTTTGAGAAAAATTTATTGTTATACAAAATATAAAGTAGGTTGGAATTTATTTATATCGAAAACAGTTTACACATTTTGATTATAAAATAAAAGATCAGATTGAACAAGGGTTGGGGGACCAGCAAATATTCGGACAACTTTTCTTTTAGGAGCATAAGCCTACTAATTGTATACGATTGGAATTATTGTTAACCCAGACAAACAGTAACTAATAAATGAAAAGAACAAGAGAAGAATAAATGGTTTTAAGTATAGAACTAGAAATAAAATGAGAAAACACTTGGTGCAATGGAAGTCATCTGGGCTGCCGTTGCATTGACAAGATCTGGAGGTTCCAACTTTTGTTCAGGAGAATACATATTACCTGGTAGTGGTGTATATACGGTGGAGCGTGGTGGTATAGAAGATGCTTAAAGTAAAACATATACGATTAAGTAGTAAAAAATTACCTTATATGCAGTGGCGTATCTAGATGTCTTGAAATAGGGGAGTTGATGGGGGGCGCGAAGGTGAAGTGAGGGGGGAGGGGCTCGATGGTCAGTTGAGGGGCGCTAAATTGCAAATATCACCTAATAGGTGATTTTAAACTACTTGACCGTGATTTGAAACCAGTGTCAGTATAATTTTAGGTAAGCATGTGGATAACATAAGCAAGAATTTAGTCTAATGAAACTGTTTATCATCTTGATACCTTGTCACCACGGCGTCCAAACAGATGGATCTAACTTGACGTTGTTATGTGGGTGTTCTATAGATTATTGAAAATGGTAATATCCCCGAAAAAATAGATAAAATGACAGTTGAATGACCAACAAAGACAAATGAAGACAATAGTTCGTAATTAGAAGTTATTTAGTATAACTTTATTAGAAAAATTAATCTCAAAATACAGTTGCCGTCCCAGGCGTTGTCAGTGACGTCGTATGATTTTTGTGCAATTTTTACCAATTAACCCCTAAGTAAAAAATATTTGAGCCATTTCGTACCTTGCAAATCAACCGAGAAACCCGGTAGTTTATTGCTTGTTTATTGGTAGCGTCCCTTCGCCGCCAAAAGCAGTTTTTTGACAGTTGAAGGCTGGTTACGATTTGGTGGCACATCGATTGAGTATTTTCATTCATCTGACCATGTAAGTCAGTGGCGTATCTAGTTGCCTTGAAATAGGGGAGGGGTGGGCTGATGGGGGACGCGAAGGTGAAGTGAGTGGGCTCGATGATCAGTTGAGGGGCGCTAATTAGCAGAATAACGTGATTTAGGTGATTTTTAACTACTTGACCGTGATTTCGGAAACCAGTGTCAGTATAATCTTAGGTAAGCATGCGGTTAACATAAGCAACAATTTAGTCCATGAAACTTGTTTATCATCTTGATGCCTTCCGACGAAAATTGACCCTACCGGCGTCACCACGGCTTCCCCACCGATGGATCTAACGTGACGTTGTTATGTGGGTGTTTTATACATTATTGAGAATGGTAATATTACCGAAAAAATAGATAAAATGACAGTTGAATGACCAACAAAGACAACTGAAGACAATAGTTCGTCATTAGAAGTTATTTAGTATAACTTTTTCGGAAAATTAATCTCAAAATCGAGTTGCCGTCCCCGGTGTTGTCAGTGACGTCGTATGATATTTTTGCGAATTTTACCAATTAACCCCTAAGTAAAAAATAGTTGAGTCATGTAGTACCTTGCAAATCAAGCCAGAAACCCGGTAGTTTGTTGATTGTTTATTGGTAGCGTCCCTTCGCTGCCAAAAATAGTTTTTTTGGCAGTTGCTTCCCCGGTGACATCGTGAGGGCATGGTGAAGGCTATTTACGATTTGGTGGCACATCGATTGAGTATTTTCATTCATCTGGCCATGTAAGTCAGTGGCGTTATATAGATGTCTTGAAATGGGGGGGGGGCTGGTGATGCGGGTGCGAAAGTGAAGTGAGGGGACTCGATGATCAGTTGAGTGGCGCTAATTCGCAAAATAAGGTGATTTTTGGTGATTTTTAACTACTTGACCGTGATTTGAAACCAGTGTCAGTATAATTTTAGGTAAGCATGTGGTTAACATAAGCAAGAATTTAGTCCAATGAAACTGTTTATCATCTTGATACCTTCCGATGAAAATTGACCCTACCGGCGTTACCACGGCTTCCCCACCGATTGATCTAACGTGACGTTGTTATGTTGGTGTTTCATAGATTATTGAGAATGGTAATATCACCGACAAAAAAGATAAAATAGCAGTTGAATGACAAAGAAAGACAACTGAAGACAATAGTTCGTCATTAGAAGTTATTTAGTATAACTTTATTCGGAAATTTAATCTCAAAATCGAGTTGCCGTCCCCGGTGTTGTCAGTGACGTCGTATGATTTGTTTGCGAGTTTTACCAATTAAGCCCTAAGTAAAAAATAGTTGAGCCATGTAGTACCTTGCAAATCAAGCCAGAAACCTGGTAGTTTGTTGATTGTTTATTGGTAGCGTACCTTCGCTGCCAAAAATAGTATTTTGGCAGTTGCGTCCCCGGTGACATCGTGAGGACACGGTGAAGGCTGGTTACGATTTGGTGGCACATCGATTGAGTATTTTCATTCATCTGGCCAAATAAGTCAGTGGCGTATCTAGATGGGCTCGATGATCATGAGGAGGGCTAATTTGCAAAATAACGTGATTTTAGGTGATTTTTAACTACTTGACCGTGATTTGAAACCAGTGTCAGTATATAATCTTAGGTAAACATGTGGTTAACATAAGCAAGAATTTAGTGAAATAAAACTTATCATCTTCATAGGCCTACCTTCCGACGAAAATTTACCCTATCAGAGTCCCCACCGTTCGATCTAACGTGAAGTTGTTATGTGGGTGTTTTTATAGATTATTGAGAATGGTAATATCACCGAAAAAGTAACAACTGAAGACAATAGTTCATCATTAGAAATTATTTAGTATAACTTTATTCGGAAATTTAATCTCAAAATCGAGTTGCCGTCCCTGGCGTTGTCAGTGACGTCGTATGATTTGTGTCCGATTTTTAGTAATTAACACCTAAGTAAAAATAGTTGAGCCATGTAGTACATTGCAAATCAACCAAGAAACCCGGTAATTTGTTGATTGTTTATTGGTAGCGTCCCTTTGCTGCCAAAAATGTTTTTTTGCAGTTGCGTCCCCGGTGACATCGTGAGGCTGGTTACGATTTGGTGGCACATTGATTGAGTATTTTCATTCATCTGGCCATGTACGTCAGTGGCGTATCTATCTA